CCAAGAAGGAGTGTCTGTGTGCACGGGGAGGGGAACATCACAAGATGAAACACGAGGAACTGCGCCATTCAGCTAGAGCAGCCTCGAGGTGAAAGCAGGAAACAGCGAAAGCCGGGACAAAGGAACAGGAAGGAAAAGGCAAATCGCAGGGTCGGACCTTCAAGCACTGGTGGTGAGCTCAGGCCTAGGGGGAGCAAAGATAACAGCACACCATGGAGCCTAGAAACAGCCTCAAACCCTGCGGACACACACACAGATGAAGATTTGCTCCTGGTGAGTATGAGACAAGGCTTACCTGGAGCAAGCGGTGCAGGTGATGTACCGCAGAGTCCAGTCCTCCACAGCATATCTGTTTAATAGTGATTTGGAGGCCAGGAGCTTGGCCCCTTCCTCACAGCAGGCCATGCAGGGCAGGGCAAACACAGCAAGAATCAGGAGCCTCATCTAGAAGCAAAAAGAAAATGGAATATCATTGATGATTTTATTGCAAAGAGAACGCAAATGGGATAACTAAATGAGACAACTCAGGCCTTCACGTGCAGCAAGACATGAAGAGCTGTGTACGTCGCAGCAATATTGATAAGGGATATCACAGAGAAGGGAGAAATGGCCCTGGCACCACACAGGTCTGCAGCTGCCCCCCAGATACTTACGTTCTTGCTGGAAAGTGTACAGGTAACGGCACAGCAACGGCTTAGGACAGCAGGCATGGCAGAACAGAAGATGGCTGTCTCCCTTTTCAAAGCCCCAACAGGTCTCTCTCCTACGATTGAAGCGGCATGGTGAAGGATGGCAGCTTTCCACCGCTGTCTGTGCCACCTCTGAGCTGGTTCTTCTCCCCATCAGATTCCCTGTTCTCCTCAGAAAGCACTTGCTCCTATTCCCAGCCATCAAGGTACCACCAACTCCCACCGGTGGCCTTTCTCTCCCCAGAACTCCCTGCTCCAGGCCACGTGGCCTTGTTTCCCTGAGCCCAGCATCTCTGGAGCTGCCTCACAGCAAGGACGAGGACACCACACTCTCATTATATACACTACCTGTATACAGTGAGGTGTCAGAGCCCCCACTCCCTGCACCCGGGG